CATTACATATTGTAGAATATATATATTTTTTTTTTAATTAATGGAATGGTGAATATGATATCTGGATAATCTGGAAAGAAGGATCATTATTATTCGTTTTGTGTAATCAGTGAGGTATTATTATTATTATTAATTACCTATATCGCAGATAAGATAATATTGTATTTAAATTAAATTGTATGGAGACAATAAAAATATAGAGGAATAAAAATTTATAAAAAAAAAATTTTTTTTAGTTAATGTATTGCTATATCCGAATGCGATATATGCTGGCGGAGCAATAAGGACGTTATACCTAATGAATATGAAGTCAGATCAGTTAGTCCATAGTTCACAACCACATAGTCCACAACTGCCCTAAATTCATAAGAATTTAAGCAGATTTCCGAAGGAAACCGCGCGTCTTCGCATTTACATCGCATTTTAGCAGCCGAACCTTAATGGTAGTTCTTTTACTTATAATCTTATTCGCCCAGGATTTTTTAAATAAATGAATATGGGTGATGCTCTGTCCTGTGCTCATTTATGGTCTACACAAAATATTTACAATGGCGAGACTACATATAATATTTCTTAATAGTAGTAGACTTGGCTCCACTTCGTTGTTTTATTATTTTAAAATATTTTATTTATATTTGTTACACAGTAATACTACATATTTAATGCAATACCTACAGATGGTATAATGGGGTTGTGGAAGCACCACCCCTTCGCGGGATACGCCTCTATAAAATATAATAGCTATTTTATATAGATAGGTCGCTACGAATGATGTGCTTTTTGTACTGTTCATGGTATTTTATAGTATCATCCTCGGTGCATAGATGGCGCTACTACATTTAACTTAATTATGGTATTGCTGCCATCTACAGATTATTTTGAGCATTACTAAATAGTTTATTAGCTAGGTAATAATACCGCGTCTCTAAGATCAGTTTCAATATTGGGCATTAAATATTTTTTATATTTTAATAGATGGCGCCCTATGACTTAACGTTCTCATTAGTAAAGTAACATATAGGAAGAAGAAAAAGCTTAAATTAAATTATTTAATAGAAAAGTTTTATAGTACTTTTTTGTTCATTGTTCGGTCAGGTATTATCAATATAAATAAATATTGTCTTTAAGATGTGGAGCAAGGATAGACGGATTTAGAATTCATATATTTTTAAGTATTCTTTGCTTTATTATCTGTGCTTTATTGAAACTAATTAAATTTCAACATAATATTACAAAGAGTAAATACTGACCATAATGACGTACCATCGCTAAGCAAACACATTTAACATCGTCTTTATTTTTAGAATTTGGAGACGGAAAATAACACATAATAATTTTAAAAATTCATCCCTTAAAGGATCATAAATCACTTTATCTTATATAGATCACTTTATTTTAAAAGTATATATAAAAAAATATATGCCATAATGTAACATAATATAAATTGACTTAGGGGCTGAAATCGGCAGTGAAAACTAGTAGAGATCCATAATTTTACATAAAATAATCTATTACTTTAAGTTTTGAATCCATAGAATAATATAGGAAATACTTTTTTGAGTTTTTTAACCTATAAATATGTTTATGCTAGATAAATAGCTATAGCTAGATTTGTTTCGTTATGCTAGATACATACTATTATATATGATACTATTATAAAATGATACATTAGGTCTGATATATTATAATATATGTAGATCCATAGAATTAAATTTGTAGACTACAATTCTTTTATACATATCATGTACTTAGTAAGAAACATTTTTGAAAAAAATATTTATATATTCCATTTTAGGATAAAAAGGAGATTGAAAAATTATATCAACGTCGAACTTAACTTTAGAACTTTGTACTCAATTTTTATTACGAATTAAGAATACATAATAAAATTTATCATTGAAAATATTGTTTGATGGGAATTTATGTTAATAACTTATAATATTTTAAAGAGACAATATTTATTTTTTGCGATATCAATATTACCACATAGTAACTATCAAACTTTTCAAGTAACTTTCAAGTACTTTATTTTATAATTTTCTATAAAATAATATACAATAATATCCAATACAGACAAAATTTAGTTTTCTTAAGTTTGGTGCTACCGTAAAAACAATTATTATCTAAGTAATTTTTGACACGTTAAATCGCGGATTGTCTACTATGATTGATAGAGAATAAATTTAAAAAAATTAAATTATTGGTTATCCCTCTGACTTTGATTTTATGTTGTCAAAGAGGAATTCCGACATTTTTAAAGTGGGTACATAATTTAAACAAGACTCAATTTATTATTTTAATTTATGTAATTCTGAATTTACTATCAATTAACTGTATTTGTTATAATATACAAATTTCTGTTACCTTAAGGGTTCTATAATAATAGGCGTAATTAGTATCAATCTATTTTGCATCGATGTCATAGGGAATAAAATCGCTAACAACGTTGTATGTGGGGTGAAAAGATCAGTGAAAGTATTCACTACATTATCTGTACGGTTCTATTATTTTGAAAACTTGTCTTTCTTGTGGGTCGTCTATTGTGAGATGTTGTTGATGCATAATCATATATGGATTAGATAGTGACAAAAGACTTGGCTGGCAAGTTCGTCACAATTTGACATATCTTGAAGGGTCCTCAAATTAGGGCGCAAGACCACACGCTCCAAATTTCGCCTTGCCTGGTTACTACACACTGAAACGTGGAAAAAGTAGATGTAAGAGTGTAACGTACAATAAAATTGAGTTGATATAACCATGCACAGGGGTAAACGTTATAATATTTGAACAATTACCTTTTCATAAGTATTGACTGCTGGTAATGGCAATCATGTCACGGAATTATTATTATTGTATTTGTATTCTCACATCTTTTTCATTTTGTGGTAGGTATGTTATTACTGTACAATTTTGTTTTTATATACCGTTATATTCTTTTATATTCCACTAAGTTCGTACTTACGTACCTCTTCATATTATCATTTCAGCCATTCAAATTTATTACTACTCTACTTTAGTAGTCAACGTATAATTCCCATGAAGAATATGACATAATAACTATTGCTGCCTGTACGGTCTTCAGTGTAGTAGCCACTTCTACTATTACAAGGTTTTTGTCTCATTAGATTTAAATATATATATATATCTGGTAGTAAAGATATGAAGAAAATATCTGTAGAAAAAGTTACTCTAAAGGGGTGGTAGTAGATACAGTTTCTTTTTAATGTCCATGTTGTTATTAATGCTTGGCAATTGCCAAGCATGCTATATGGGTTGAACTAGGTGCAAGTGACAGGCCTATAACTAATTTAAAGTAAAAAAATAACGATTTTAATATGCAATGGCAATGTCTTTAATTGACTGATATTTCTAATATTCAATATATAATTTTGCGGCGCGCGGAAAGTATTCGTAATAATTACAAGTATTATCCTATTTATTTTAGTCCAGGGGCTTTGTGTTTTTATTTTGTAGTAGATATGATTAAATGTCTTAACATTAAATTATAATATTCATTTTGTTGTAAATAATTACCATAATTAAAATATTATTAGAAACCTAGGAACTCAATAGAGCAATCTCTATTAGGTAGCCTGTGATTATTTCAGTACCTGGAACACTTTATTGGGATGAAATGTGTTAGTAATACATGGCCTATTTGTAAGTCTATTATTAACAAATATACAAACATTTCTGCAAACTTTAATGTAGGCTAATGAGATGAATTATATATTTTTTATCTATTATATCCGACAGACTTAATAATTCATTATTATCTTTATTTATGATGATAGAAAAAATATATTTTTACTTAAAATATTCAATTGTAAAAATGTATAGAACCTTTACCAATGACATTAAAAACTATTTATATGTATGTTGGGAAACTCGCAATTGTAAAAAAATAAACGTGTCAGTAAACTAAATCTATATGTTCAAATTCTATTAGACTTTTTAGTCACATAAGTAAGTATCTATGTGAATTATGTTAGTCAGTGCATGATGAGTCATTTTTTGCATTAAAATATCTTTAAGTCAATTAGATAACCATTTCGTTTCTTAATAATTTTATTATACACACATATTAAAAACTATAAGAGACCGGCCAGTAAGCTGACACTGTTTTCTAGAAGTAAAAAATATATTTTTTTAGATGTAATGTAAACTGATTTTCGAAATGGAATAGTTTGTCACTTGACTGAATTACGAGGGTCACAATAACGAGGATTTTTTGTCTATTATTATAAATGTGAATATGAGTTTGTTTTTTTGTGACTGTATTCAATATTTATACTGCAACAATGATTATTTTTATTCAACATTTCCTTGATAAAAGTGCATTTTTTTTACCATATAAGATTAAAAAACAAAATGCTCATGATGTAGTTTAAAGTGAACAAATGTAAAATTCTAAAGTATCTCGATTCAAATTAACCGATATATGAATAAGATACTTATTATTATTATTTAGATAATTATTATAATACAATTCGGCGAATGTATCGTGCATACTTGATATAAAAAAACAGTAAGTAAGTAAGTAAGTTGAGAACCTACTCCTTTTTTAACATCGATGAAAGGGATGAAAAGAGATGTGTCACAAAAAATGTGTCAAAAAACGAAAAGTGGAACGAAAAGTGGAATCGAAATCTATAGTATTCTATAGCTACTTAATAGATAGTGATGTTGGTACGTACAATAACAATAGAAAAACAATTTTGAATGGTGAATAATATCGACTTCTTCACGGTTGGTCTAGATGATTGCTTAACGAAAAGACTTTTTATTAGGAGTGAGTTTGTTGTGAGCGGGTGTTTTTTGGTGATGTTTGTTGGGAGACAGGGTGTGGCGATGGCGCGTGTGAATGGTGCCGTTCACCCTGCTACGTGCCCTTTTCTGATGGAAGTGGCTAGGAAGTTACGTTCTTGAGGCGGCGCGGCGGCGGCCGCCGCATGCCGTCAAGTGACACATTTCGGGTTGGGGTAAAGCGGTCGCCGCTTTCGGCCGGTGCACACGTTCCGTTAGCTTCTCTATTTTAAAAACTACTTGCTTGGCGATATCCGGGAAGGGATCGGCCGCATCACCGCGCCATTGGTATCGACTCTACACCACTGTCACTCATTTTCGATGCAGTCGACCTGCGTACGCGTCGTTGGCCGCTACGCGCGCAAGCGCGTCCGCTCTTATGCACTTAACAATATTTGATAGTTGATAAGATTGAAAAAGCGCGCTGACCAAAACCTTGAATGAACTTAGTAAAAATAAAGTGCCTTTTATTCACGTGAAAGATGGATGTTACTACAAGGTGATATTTGTGGTGTCTGTTAAGATTACTTTGTTACCATGAGCGGGAGGGAAGGCGGAAATGCAGTTCCCTCTTCGAGTAAGTATAGACTACTACCAAAAATATTTAAATTCGCCGTCTATTTATATTACTTTAAGCGATTTGTACAATTTTCAAAATGATATTAGTGCTTGTTATTTGTAGTTAACATTATTTAGTGTATCGTATTGAAAGTTGTCGTAGTTCTTATCAAATGGATTTGTAGTTTATAGAGCCCGGGAAGGCAATCAAAAATAGTTGTTTATAACATTACTGAAATTATTTGAATTGAGGTTAGTAGAGTGTTGTTCACTGAAGTCTGCTCACATGTGTGTAACATGTTTACTATTTGTTTCGACATTACAACAAAAATAAGTACACATAACTTATTAATAATCTTCTGAATATCTTGCGTCTACGATACCCCGATAACGTCACGTTTTACGCAGTTTTATTTTCTTATAATCACAGAACGTATTGAATGCATAAGTAATTTGTTCTAAATAATATCAAAATGGTTTTGTATTTCGTAGTGCATACGTTTATTACACCAGTTTTTCTATGGAGGTATGTTGTAGTTCGTATACATACGTCATAGTTTATAATTAAACTAGTTATATGAGTATATTATCAAACAACAAGGCCTACGCATCGAAGCAGCAATTGTTTACTATACCTACGATTCCGTTTTAGTTACTCGCGTGCGTGTCACTAGCGTGCAATACACTCACCATACGTTCTCTATGGTGCGTGATCTTATGTTCTATAGAAATTGTTTTAGAGCTCATAGACGAATAACCCAAGCTATTGTTCATCTGTGTGACTGAACTGTATTTGTGTGCGTGCTTAGGTAAGACGACTGCATTTTTGAAGAACCTTATTCTCTAGTCCCCACTATTCTTGCACTACGTGTTTTTGTCATCGACATACCATACTTTTAGTGAGGGTCGGATAAGATATCGACGTCTAAGTTTGTTTAATACAAACATACAAATTTACATAAAATTAACTATATGGCAAATATTGCTTTAAGTTTAAAGTTATTTGGTAATTGGGATTTTAATTAACTTTACTTTACTATTAAAAAATAATTTAAACAAAATAATGAAATATGAATACCATTATTACATTAAAAATACAAAGTTTTTAATATTTACTATACTTTACGCTTACTGTGCAACTTGAAAATATTTACTTGGGCGCGATATTTCAAGAAGTGTTAGGAATGTTTAGAAAGTCGATGTTAAGTAACGTTACGTCCCTACGGCAGGGTCTGATTCGTAACCAGTCAATTAAATCTGAATGGTGGTACATTCAACCATCTCTTTCCCACTAAGTTAAAGACCCCATAGCTAAAGCGCCACTTGACGATGATTCACGTTCGAATTCCATACCTACGACGCTACGATTGATAACAGCCAAAACTAGTGAATGGCACGTTTTAGGTCATTTCATTTGCTTGTTATCCATGTGCCGCATAATCAATATAACATAGGTACATACCTACGGATGTGTTTTGTTTACTAAGATTTAAGCAAAACAGCCAGAGTAATTTGTTCGAATGACCTCGTGAACTTTTAGTTTTTAACGGTTTATCATTGCAGTGATTCAGTCTAAACAATTTGTACACAATATAACTGCGTATTTCTCTGTTTCATATCATAGTATCATAAAAAATAGCATGTTTCATTCATAGCCACATGTCAGTATAAATATTTTCTACTATACTATATAGTGCACGGTATGTGTCAACGACCTCACAGAATGGGAATTCTCGTCGTAATGTATCCTACATTTTGTCACATGTTACTGGTAGAATGCGAGCTATCCAGTCGATGTTTAGAGGCATCACAGACATGTGTAGTTAATAGAAGAAATGTTCCTGCCCCCACTCACGTATACGTTGACACGAGGATTATAGCTGAACTAATAGCGTGTGTCAATCAGGTTAATAAAATACATATATAGAAAGATTTTTAATCAGTAACGTTTATCTCTGGATAATTCAGAAAATGTACATTAGACTATAGTTAACACAATATATATTAAGTAATATGTTTTTAAAAATTAACGCTTCATGAAAATTCACACTCACGTACATATATATTTTTATGTATTTATATTTTACGTTGCATGAGTTATATAGGTTTTACTCATATTTAGTATAATGTGGCCAATGTTATTCAAACCTCATAGTAGTAGATATTATGTTATCTGTGGTAGTAGTAAGTATTTTCAATTAAAAATGCTCTAGCGTCTCTTAGTGTCAGTTAAGCTTCTAACTCTTCGCTGAATATGATATATATTAAAGTAAGTTTATTCTTTAAAATTGCAAAACATAACACTAATTTCTATTTAAATTTACAGTTTTGGATCTTACAATAAATAAAATTTTGATATAGAATATGCGTATTACACCTACTAATAAGAAGTAGTATTCAGAATCACATTATCACTACGAGGCTACAGTATTCTGGAAGAAATATTTAAAATGAAATCCTACACCAAGTCCGCAAGGCAAGGCCATTATATTAGGCCATATTAGGCTAAAATTCCCCTCCTTTGGGGAAAAACTCGTATTTGTACGCTACAGTGGTACATTCATGGCTTGTTATTATAATATTAACACATATAAAATTATGAAAGGACAAATAAAATATTATTTATAAAACTTTCTATTTCATAAATCACTTATTCACTATTACTTATCTTGTTGTTATTCTTAAATGTAAACGTAAAAGAGTGGAAAAAAGCTTTGCATTTCTAGTTCCATTTATTTATTTATAGAAATATAATATATGTATGTTTCCTTAGGAAAATAAAAAAGATACCGAATAATGTTGTCATATATATAAGACAGGTATCAGCGAATGTACACAGGGATAGGTTTAAAGAAATTAAGTACTAACTAATAAAAATAAATATTTATATATACACACACATATGAATACGTATAAATAAATATACATAATCAAATATTATATATACTTGTATGTTAAATGTCACAAGTAACAAAGTAGTTTAGAAGGAAACATATTTAAAAAGACAAAAAGTGGGATGACCGAGTTCTTAAAAGTGGTTGGGTACTGACCGTTACGTATGTATACATAGCATGGAATTAAGCTATGGTCCAATTAACGACCTATGTTTAAGATAACTAAGTTATACTACGAATACGTATATAATTTTGTTTATTCCATGAATAGTAGAGCCTAAGTATAAATGTTCTGGTAAAAAAGATTTGCTAATCTTAGTAAGGTGATGTTTACCTATATGTGTACTAGATTTTGAACATGTCGGAAATGTCACTGATAATAATAATTTGTACTTTTTTTAGCTAATAGATTTTATACTAAATAAAGTATTAGATAATTGAATTTATGTACATCTATTTAAAAGAATACATTATCAAGATCAAACATTTGTAAATATTATTCTCGTATTTTATAGTGACAGTCTGTTTTGTTGATATTTTTTGGACATATATGTATAATAAATAGTATTCAGACTAACTTTCTCTACGAGGCATAAGATGAATAATAGGGGTTATCTGTGTTGTTTTAAATTACAAGTAAATTATATTACTTCTCCACTGTTTTTAGAGTAGTACTAAGTAGGATGTATGACTATAAAGATCGGTTAGGTTGAAGTCAAGATCAGTTTCATGCAATCCACAGGTAATTGTTGAGTTGAGTACAATTTGTTGATCTGTTTGAACAAAAACTCTACATGTTATGCATATTAGTTCCTTCTGATAAATAGATACCTAAGACAGTAGTTACTAAAAACTAGTTCTTCTTAATTTTTTCTAGCCATTATTTCTCTAAAACTTATTCTTTAAGCTCAATCCTATATTATTATCTACTAAAGCAATCTTAATAATGGTTACTTTTATGATATAAAATGAAGAAGACGAAGGGACTTATCCTAATTATTTAAGGATGTAAATTTGTCTTTTTATGAATTACAAAAGAAACTATTTTCGGAGTGCTAACACATACAAATATATTTATGCATTACATATCGTCGTAATATGGTCCATTAGTTTCTCCTTAAGAATTAAATTGTATAAACAAATAAAAAGGACAAAACAAAGAAAACAACTGTAGCAACAATTTTCAGATAAATTGTAAAAAGAAATTGTTTATTATAAAATGATTCGATATTTCAATGAAAAGTAAACAGATTTTAGCAGGTTACATGCGCTCATGCTATAAGTACATAAAAATTAATTATTATTACTGCATCTGGTGAACAATAGTACACTAACATCACCACATAATAAGTCGTTGGGGTGAGCACAAGCAGTAAAATGTTCGACTTAAAATATGCGTAGAATTTCCCCTTCCTGCTTTTAAAATAGCACAGGCTTAAATTAACTCGGATTCCAAAATAGTATAATCGCTGAAGGAACTAACAATAAACAAGAATTGGAATTGGCACGATTTTTTCTTTGTTTACATTTTTATGAGCACCTATTTATATACATTTTAATTTATATTTCCGATGTGTAATAGAAAATTAAATTTTTTAATATTACAAAGATACGACACTGTTGGAGTCATATACATTTGTCATACACTTTTTTGAGTGTACTACGCTTACTACTGCATACTAGGTAACGTAAAATTGCAGAAAATCATAATATTCAGAAAAACATGTTAGTGCTACTTATACCTATGAACTACACATATGAAGATAAATTAACACCTACTGTTACCATAACCTAAAGACGCCATTGAGAATTTTACAAAATTCTCCTTACGTACGAGTACAAAATCCAAAAACTTCCTCTGTTATTAATTTTGTTTATTTCGTGTTTGTTTATATATCTTTTAAATCATCCGTTTTCAATAGAAATGTTACTTATATTGGTACTTATTATATAGTTAGTAGAATAGTAGTTCAAACATCACGCTCCATAATACTCAAGAGAATCTATTTCAAAACTGACTCTAAGTAGATTTTTGTAAAATACTCAGTAGTGCCAAATCCCATCAATGAAATTTTTAAAAATACCAAACACAGTAATTTATTAAAAAAAATGCTTCCTGTAACAC